TTCTGACTAGCCTCGACCTCCCTGTGGATGTATACCAGGCTGGCCTCGAACTCACAGAGCTCATTAGGGCCCTGCAGCAGCTGGGGCGCTGAGTGCTGCCTCTCTTTTGCCCGCCCTCGGCTGCAGGTCACCTTCGGAATCCAGTTCTGAGTCCCGCTCCCGCTCTCGCTCCCCGAGCCCAGGCCGCGAGGAAAAGATCACTTTCATCACCAGTTTTGGGGGCAGCGACGAGGAGGCAGCTGCCGCCGCCGCCGCGGCTGCTGCATCCGGGGCCGCCCCAGGGAAGCCCCCTGCGCCCTCGCAGCCCGGCGGCCCCGCTCCAGGCCGCAATGCCAGCACCCGGTCGGTAACGCGTGGGCGCCCGAGCTGGCTGCCGAGTGGAGGGCCGGGCCCCCCTCTAGGGCCGCGGTGCTGACGGTCCTGTGCTCCCGCCCGCAGCCGCCGCTCCTCCTCGTCCTCCGCCTCCAGGACTTCCAGCTCCCGCTCCAGTTCGCGCTCCAGCTCGCGCTCCCGCCGTGGCTACTACCGCTCCGTCCGCCATGCGCGCTCCCGCTCGCGCTCCTGGTCCCGCTCCCGCTCCCGCTCCCGGCGCTACTCGCGCTCCCGCAGCCGCGGACGGCGGCATTCCGAAGGCGGTTCCCGCGACGGACACCGCTACTCGCGCTCGCCAGCCCGGCGTGGCGGGTACGCGCCCCGCCGCAGAAGCAGGTCGGTGCTCGAGCGAGCCAGCGAGCGAGCCAGCCCGCGAGGCCCTTGCGTTTGGGCGGGTGCAGGCACTGGGGAGGCAGGCTGGGGACAGACGGCTCTTTTTCTTTCGGCAAGCGCCTGGTTGGAAGCAGGACGGGGTAGGTGCCCAAAATACGAGGCGGGGCCCTGTCATCCTTCCGGGACTCTGGGCGTGGAGGTATCTCCTTGGCTTCTGCCTGGACTGCCCAGTCTGCAGGACCTGGGAATCTGGTGGGCGGGACAGCAGCGTTTGTGGAGGAGGCGGCTTTCCAGGGGACAGTGGGGAGTTTGGGGGAGAAGGGGACTGAACATACTCAGCCCTGCAGGAGGGAGGCCTGTGGACTCGGAGCTTGGGATGACTTCCTGCAGGTCCCTGGAGCCTCACGGCCCTCCCCCTCTGCTACCCCTAGGAGCCGCTCCCGGTCAGGTGACCGCTATAAGCGGGGTGCCCGGGGCCCCAGGCACCACAGTAGCAGTCGCAGCCGCAGCAGCTGGTCCCTCAGCCCTTCCCGAAGCCGTAGTCTGACCCGGAGTGGAAGCCGTAGCCAGAGCCGGAGTAGAAGCCGCAGCCGCAGCCAGAGCCAGAGTGACTCGCCATCGCCCCCACGGGAGAAGCTGACCAGGCCAGCAGCGTCCCCTGCTGTGGGCGAGAAGCTGAAAAAGTGAGTCGAGGCCCGGCTGGAGCCCAGGGAGGCCCGCTGGGTCCGTTTAGGAGGGAGGTGTGTGGACTCTGGTGCAGTGCCGTCATGGCCTCGGCTTAGCAGGTTGTCAGAGGGATGTGGTGCTGCCTGGGTTCTGAGGGTCAGGAACACATCCTGAGGGGTCTGAGTCCATGGCTGATGGCAGTCCTGAGGCCCATTTCCTCCCACCCAGGACCGAACCTGCCGCTGGTAAAGAGACAGGAGCTGCCAAAGTCAGTAAGAATTTGGAACTCGCCCGTCTAATTCCCGTCAGCAGCAGTGTCCAGAGCTGGGCCCGGTGGGCCTGCAGGGGGCCCGGGGGGAGGGGAGAGCCAGCCCAGGGACTGGGGAGGGGCTACCCAGGCAAGCTAAGTCCCACCCCTGCCTCCCACGGGGCTCCAGCTGGCCCCCAAGTCCCAGGCTCTTGGCTGAGGTGGGCTGGGCGAGCTCTGGGCACCCACGCCTATCCCGCCCCTTCTCCCGCAGCCCAAGCTGACCCCACAGGAGAGGCTGAAGCTGCGGATGCAGAAGGCTCTGAACCGCCAGTGTAAGTCTCCCCCCCCACCCCCCCACCCCAGTCCAGCCAGAGCTGTGGGGAAACAGGTCGCGGTGTGGGGACTAAGGACAGCCCTCAGCCTCCCATCCCTCTCCACAGTCAAGGCGGATAAGAAGGCAGCTCAGGAGAAGATGATACAGCAGGAGCATGAGCGCCAGGTCAGGCTGGGCGGAGGGGCGGGGCGCTGGGTGCAGTGGGGGCGGGGCCGCTCCTCACAGCTGTTTGTGTTGCAGGAGCGGGAGGATGAATTGCGAGCCATGGCCCGGAAGATCCGAATGAAGTAAGGCCCCGACCTGTGGTAGACCCAGCCTTCTGCTGCAGGAGCACCCCCCCCCCCATTGGTTCCCCAGCCCATTGCCATTGCTGCCCTCTTCCCCAGATGCGCTAGGCACCTCACCTTCTGACTCATGTCTGAACAGTATCCCCATGCCTGGCAACTGTGTCCTTGGTATTTGGTGCTTAGTAAGTGGTGGAGTAAAGCCCACCCCATGGTGGGTCTCTTAGGCTGGGGCGGCTTTTCCTTTCTCCTTCCTTTTCCTGCATTATATGTTGGGCTGTCAGAGTCCTGGGCCTAGATCATAGGCGTGGGGTTTAGTTCCTGCTGTCTCAAGTCTCTCTGATCAGGTGGGATCCTCTTGGAGCCTGAAGTGGGTCAGCCCCTCAGTGCCCACCACACTAGGCAGCTAGGATTAGTACCCGGAGTCCTCAGTCTGTCTAGAGCCTTCAGGGAAAGCCTGGGCTGTTGTACTGTGTAACGGCAGGAGGGGGCCAGGCAGGCGGGGATGGTGGCCTGCACCTGTCACTTCTTTCTGATGTGTGCTGTGAGTGGGAGCTAACATTTTGCTCTCTCTGAGCTGGGTTGCCTTCCTTTCTCTGTGGGGCCTGGTGGGAATGGCTCCTGTCTCTGTGGACCACCTGGGCTGCAGGAGGGCTGCTGCTGCTGCTGCTCCTGCTTTATTAGTTCTTAAAAACATGTATTATGCCGGGCAGTGGTGGCACACGCCTTTAATCCCAGCACTCGGGAGGCAGAGCCAGGTGGATCTCTGTGCGTTCGAGGCCAGCCTGGGCTACAGAGTGTGATCCAGGACAGCCAAGGCTACATAGGGTTTAACACCATAGCTCTCGGTGGCCTGGAACTCACCATGTAGCCCAAGTTACCTTTGAATTCATGGCAATCCTCCTGCTTCATCTTCCCAAGTGCTGGGATTACAGGCATGAAACACCATGCCTGGCTTGCTGTGAGAGGGAGAGGGAAGGAGGGCGGAGGGGGAGAGCCACCCAGGGCACGTGCTTAGATATCAGAGGACAACTTCAGACGTCAGGGTTCTCCTTCCAGCTTCAGAGGCTGCTGGCGGGCAGCGGGGGGTGGGGGGGGGGGTGGGGGGGGGGTGACCTGAGCTACAGACAAACCCCAGGAGTCTGGGACTGGGCACGTTGGCTTCTGGTGCTGTCTCTGCCCCTTCGCCTCACTGTCTGCGCCTCAGTTTGCACTGCTGGTCACTGGGTGGGCAGCACACAGCCCCGCAGGTGCTCACCCCTCCCTGTTGGTTGCCTCCCCTCTCCCCCTGCAGGGAGCGAGAGCGACGGGAGAAGGAGAGAGAAGAGTGGGAACGCCAGTACAGCCGCCAGAGCCGCTCACCCTCCCCACGTTACAGTGAGTGCTTCCGCTGTCCCTACAGTCCACAGTGCCGCTCAGGGCCATAGGAAAAGCTGGGCACTCCAGGGGTAGAGGGCGGGGGCCAGGGCTACCTGGAGAAATCCTGCTTTAAATAAAAAAGGAAGCAAACAGTTGGGACCTGGCAGTCAGGAGAGTCACTGACAAATTCAGACTCAGCCTGGGCTACAAATCAAGAGACACACACACACCACCACCACCACCACCACCAAAAACAAAACAAGACAGCACTGTGGAGTCTCAGGCAGGAGGATCACTTGTTTTGGTGTTTGGGAGCTGCCTAGATTACACAGGGGCCTCCATCTTATTATCTAAAAAAGTACTAGACAGATGTCAAAACCAGCCAGTTGGTGGGGTATGCCCTGGGGAAGACAGGAGGATCTGAGTTTGAGGCTGGTCTGGTGTCCATAGCCAGTTTCAGGCTAGCCAAGGCCTACTGAGACCCAGACATGGCTTGAGACACACACAGTGCAGTGGTCCCTTCAGTGCTGAGAATGTGGGGAGGGGTTAATCCTGGCAGAGGAGGCCTGCCAGGGTGAGGCACAGGCCCCAAGGTGGCCCAGCGAGGCCAGCTGGCATCACCTCCTTTTCTTTTCAGGTCGAGAGTACAGTTCTTCTCGGAGGTGAGGCTGCTGGCCCTGCTGCCAGGGGTGACCCTCCAAGTCTCCTGGCAGTCCCCCCGTCCCTCCTCCCCGGCACCCCTTCATTTGGTGGGGCTGGACTTGTTCCCTAGGGAAGACACTCCTCTCTCAGCAGCCCATTCTGCAGGCATGTTGGTGCTTGTGTGCATGGGAGGGAGGCTCCCAGCACCCCACCTCACAGCTGTCTCCCTTCTCTGCAGGCGCTCGAGGTCTAGGTCCCGGAGCCCCCATTACAGGCATTAGGCGGAGGACTGAGTGGGCGCTGTGATGCTCCTGGTTTCTGTAGTGAAATAAAAGCTAACATTATTTAATGCCCTTCACTGCCTGCTCTTCTGAGTACTGTAGGACTTCCAGGCTAGATGCAGCTGAGGACCACTGCAGCTGCAGCATAGCCTGCAGGGTGTGGGGAGTGGGGCCTGCCTAGGAGGCAGGGGCCAATCCAGTCAAGGGCCCAGACTGTGGCATGTGCGGACAGGGCCAGTGGATGATGGGCTAGGACTGGACTGAGCCCAGGGGCCTCTGGTGACAGGTCCAGGCCTCTCCCTGCCCTTGCCCGGCCCCTGGCCTCACCCACACCAAGAACCGGGAGCACGGCTTTCTGTGCCAGTCCTCCAGTGCCCAGGGCACTCACCCCCACTCCAAACCGGTCTGTCCAGCCAGCCACACTCTGGAGGGGGAGCCTCCCACCTCAGACACCCCAAGAAAGCGAGAGTCCAGGCACATGAATAAATAGAAGATGGTTTATTCACACAAAAGGAAGGCTAAGGAGGTGACAGGACTGCTCTCAGGCCATCTCTGGGTGGCTCTGCCACAGGTGCTTGTCCAGTGTGGCCCGTAGGCCAAATGGCACACAGCAGTGTGGGCACTCATAGCGGGTGCTGCCAGGCCCCAGACCGTGCATGCGGCGGTGGCGGTTGAGCTTGCTGCTTTGGGCACAGGCATAAGGACACTGGTCACAGGCGTAGGGCCGCTCACCAGTGTGTTTACGCCGGTGTACTACCAGGTTGCTGCTGTTGGCAAAGTACCTCCCGCAGAACTCACAGCTGCTCCCAGGCCTGCGGCTCTTGCCAGTCGACTTGGGGGTCTTCCTGGTGGTTGTCTTCTCACTCTTTATAGGGTCAGTCCTTGGTACTTTGCTCACAGTCAACTTTGGTCCCCAGTCAACAACACCTGGGCCTGCTTGAGCTCCACTGCCAGGGGCCCCGGGTTCCTGGACTCCTGCTGTGGCTGCAGCTCCAGCCTTCTCCACCTCCTCCAGGGGGAGGGTGCTGGCTGGAACAGCTGCATGGTCAGCTGGCTCTGGAGGGGCTGCTGGGGAGACACCCCTGCTGCTGGCAGGGGTGCAGGGGCTCCCGGATGTCTGCTGCTTGTGGGTCTTCTTGTGCCTGTTGAGCTTGCTGCTCTGAGCACAGGCGTAGGGACACTGGTCACAGGCGTAGGGCCGCTCACCAGTGTGGGACCGCATATGGACCTTGAGGTTGCTGAAGGAACTGAGGGTCTTCTTGCACACCAGGCAGGTGGGGCTTCGCCGGGCAGCACTGCTCACTGTGGGGGGCTTATCCTCAACTGGTGCTACCACTGCCACTGCCGATACGGCCGCAGCTACCTCAGCCAGGCCCAGCAGTGGGGACTCCGGGGTCTCTGATTCGGTCTGGTAGATGGATAGCCCATGATCCCACTGGGCATGGCGTAGCAGCTTCCAGGCTTCACTGAACTGTCTACCACATCGCAGGCAACTCAGAATCTTCAGCTCCTTGGATTCTGGAAAGGGGAGGAAGGGGCAGAAAATCAGTGCTGGCCTCAACTGAAGAGGGCCTGCTGTTCCAGAGAAGGGGAGGTCAGCAGGGCACTGGAGAATCGGACAGGGCCAGATCTTACCACGAAACCTCAGAGCTGGGGCCTGGCACAGACAGGCCAGGCAGGTCGGCTAGTGTCTGGATTCCAAGTGTGACATTTTCTCTAGACCCATGGCACAACTACAGGACACTTCCCAGAGCTGCCAAACCCCAGACAGTCCAGGCCAAAGCCAAGCAGAAACCAACCCATCCAACTCCAGCTGTGTGATCCTGGACAAGACATCCTCCCACGCCTCAGTTTCCCAAGCTGATAGAGTATGGGAATCTGAGGGGCCCCTTCCAGGCTTGTGACCTCAAAATAGGGAACAGCTGATAGTTTTGGTCCCTATAAGCCCTCAAACATGAGATGAGCCTCAGATACCAAAATACCCACAGCTGAGCCAGGAGTGGTGGCTCACACCTTTAATCCCCAGCAATGAGAAGGCAGAGGCAGGCAGATCTCTTAAGTTGGAGGCCAGCCTGGTCTACATAGAGTTTCAGGACAGCCAGGGCTATTTAAAGACCCTGTCTCAAAACAACGAAAAAAAAAAGTACCCACAACTGACTATCCAGGCCTGCAATACCAGTAATACCAGCTGCCTAGGCAAGGATGAACCCCTGTCTAAAATGTTAAACCCAGCAGTGACTCTCCAGACACTGCCTACTAGTCAGTCCTGGAGTGCCCAGTTACTCAGGTTAAATCCATCTCAGCCCCTCCCTCAACTAAAGCTGATTGAACTATAGACCCACCCTGGCCCAGCCCTAAATATAATTCTATTTCCCAAGTCCCAACAGGAGCACCACATGAGCTGGGGGCCGGGATTTCAAGTTCCCATCAAGTCCCTAAATCCTGTAGCCAACAAGAGTTCACTCCATGGACCAAGCACCAGTTAGAGTTTTAATTCTTCCATACACGAGTATCCAGCACCCTGACCAGGGGCTTCCCAGCACTCAGCCGGGAGATCCCAGCAAAGGAACACGCCAGAAGCCCCCGTTCCCTGTCTGAACTGTCTGATTAGAAAGATCCAAACACAGTAGGGATGATAAGATCCGTTCCTGCGGGCCTCCAGCTCTCTGCCTGAGGCCACTGTCCCCACCTCCTCCATGTCCCTCTACTAACAACCCTGGTCCAGCCACCTGGCCAGTTATTTCTGTCCGTGGGGAAGGAGAAGTGAAACTAAATTGAGGGTGTATGGCAAAACCCCGGGCCAGTCTTCTGGGCTTGGCCACACCTTGTGGGTGGCCTTCCTCCGCTACCCAGCCCCCGCCCTACCTCTAGTCCCTGCCCTAGGACAGGCAAGCCAAGGCCACGCCTAGGTTCTACCCTAAGGGGGAAAAGGGGAAGTAATGTTGCTCGGTGCCCCATCTGTCCACCTTAGCTCCCTCTCCGCAGGGCAGGAAGCCCAACCCTAGATCAGAGGTGGTCACTACCCGCGGAATTACTTACCTGAATTGGGGCCGACGCCTTGGAGGAGCTGACAGCCCAGTTTCTTGTGGTCCATGAAAGCGATGATGGCCTCCAATGGGAAAGTCTGCAGGCAGCGGCCGCAGGTCAACAGATCTGGGTGCTTGTCGGTCCAGGGCTGGCGGTCTGCAGGGAGGAAGCGGGTGGTGAGCGGTGGGGTGGGGCCCGGCTAGGAGTGAGGGTTCCAAGGTGGAGAGGGGAAACCCGGAGGTCAGAGGCGAAGGCTGGGGAGGCCAGGCCGTCCCGGGGCCATCCCCAGGGGAGAGGCACCCACCGGAGGGTCCCGGTGCACGCAGGAGCGAGGGCTGGGGACGCCAGACCGGTTCCGGGGCAGAGAGGCACCAGCAGAGGGTCCCGGTACACGCAGGGGCGAGGGCTGGGGACGCCAGGCGGGCCCCGGAGCAGAGAGGCATCCACCCCGAGGGTCCCGATGCGCACAGGGCCGAAGACCGGGGACTCACCGGAAGGTTCGGGGCTCAGCGGTATCCACGGGGCACACGGGCTGCGTGCGCCGAGGGGGCGCGGGTCGGTGCCGAGGCGACGCTCGGTACCGAGGAGCTTCGGCATGTACACGTCCTTCGGGGACCAGAGCCCCGGGGCCAAGGCCCCCGCGTCGTGCTCTGGCTTCACATCAATGACGAGCTCGGGCGTCTCCATGTCGTCTTTGTCGGGCTCCGGGTCTACACGGCGCGGCACGCAGCCGGCCTTGCGGCGGGACATGGGGCGATGGCGCAGGAGCAGACAACCCGCTCGGCGGCCGGACGCTCAGGTGAGTGGCCTGCGGAGACCCGCGCCGAACTTTTTACACGTGCTGGCCCTGCGGTGGCTCCGCCCATTAGGGGCGGGGTCTTGCGAGGCCAGTCGCCGCGGCCAAACCCGACCTCCTGGCCGGCTGCCCCGGGATGAGTGCGCAAACTGTGCCACTGGAGTCGATTTCACCCGGGAAAGTGGAAGGAATTGTTCCCAAACCCATCATAGCGCTGGTGATACCCGAGGCTCGGGATGTCGCGCCTCCTACCCAAAGGGAGAAGTGGTGGGCATCTCTCTTACAAGACGGGAAGTTTTCTAAGAAAATTTCGCCCTTTAAACCTTCATCTTTTTCTTTTCTTTTCTTTTTTAATTTTAATTAATTTTTTTTTTGTATTTTTCTCTAAGACAGGTCTCAAGACAGATCTCTAAGACAAGCTGACCCCGAACTGGCTAAGTAACAAGTAACGGATGATGGCTTTGCCCTTTTGATCTGGCCTCCACCTCTCCAGCGCTGGTTTTACAGGGGTACATCGCTACACCCATTTTATGTGGTGCTGGGCATCGAACCCAGAACTTGCATTCTAGGCAAGCACCCTACCCACTGGGCTACGTCTCCAGACTTTGCCACCCCATTTCTTGAGCACCTACAGTGAAAGAAACCATTTCATAATACTTATAATATGGAGATGGGGGGGCGCAGGGAGAGGGAGCGGGACACCACAGATGACTGTATAATATGGACCCTACCTCCACCACTACCCCCGTGCCTTCTGGTAATCCCAGCTACCCAGGAGGCTGAGAATCACAAATTCAAGGCCAGCTGGGGCTGTTCCATAGTATATGGAGTGCCTTATGTGCTGATAAGTGAGGCAGAAATCAAGCTGGAAAGGGGGTAGGGTTATCCCCCCCCAAAAAAAAAGGGCTTCAGTTTTCTCCCCTGTACCAGGACTGAGCAAGCAGGGCAGAATGGAGACTTGGGCGTGCAGTGGTAGCTTTTGCAAATCGGCCATCTCAGCATATGAAATGTGGAAGCAGGTTCAGCAGTCCAAAGCCCGTTTCAGTCAGCTGCATAGGGAGATTGAGACTAGTTTGGGCTGCAGGAGACCCTGCCAAAAAAAATAAATAAAAATTTTAAATTTCTATTTATTTTTCTTTGGTTTTTTCAAGACAGGGTTTCTCTGTGTAGTCCTGCCTGTCCTGGAACTCGCTTTGTAGACCAGGCTGGCCTCGAACTCACTGAGATCCACCTGCCTCTGCCTCCTAAGTGCTGGGATTAAAGTTGTGCACCACCACTGCCCCGGTTAAAAAAAAAAAATTTAAAGCTGGTTTTTGGTGGTGGTACACTCTGTAATCCCAGTGCTCCACTCCAGAATCAGAGGCAGGAGGATTGCCCAAGAGTTCCAGGCCAACTGGGATACCACCTAGGGAGATCTTGTCTCAGAAAATAAATGTGAAGATCTGAGGTTTGTGAGGGAGCACTCAGGACTAAGGGGAGTGGGGCAGGAACCTGGCGGCGGGGGGGGGGGGGGGGGGGGGGGGGGGGGGTGGGGACACACCCAGAAGGGTCTTCTGGTGACTTCGCCTGGTACCAGGGGCCTGGAGGGTTTGAGGCTAAACGGAATGATAACCATCTACGTCTGCTTTCTTCCAAGTCCTAAGCTACCCATTCAAACCAAATAAATGGCCAGCAGCCCTCTCTGCCTCTCTCTGAAATTTCCCTCAGATAAGAATTTTCTCTGCGCACTGTTGGAGGTGGCATCGACACCCTGACTGCCCCCGCCTCAATCATTTATGAGTTTCTCTTTTCTTCCCGGCATCCACCACAGCCTCACAGTAGGAGAACTGCTTGTTGACTGTCCCGTCTGTCCATCCATCTGTCTCTCGCCACCCCCCTCCCGCCAACCACCCACCCACCCAAGCTCCTGTAGGTTAGGGCCATCACGTAGTGTCCTGCTGAGTGAATTCAGAGGCTGAGCTCCGGAGTCCCTCATATTGTTATTCAGGCATGGACTCAAGTGAACTCCTGAAGGTCCAGGGCCTCCCGGGCTAGCTATGTAAAGTACCCACACCCTGCTGAAGGCCTTGCAAATCACTCCGATGACCTCCATCTGTTCCCAATTCCCTCTCAGCCTCAGTTCCCTAAACTCTTGAAAGAATTAGGAGATGCTGGACCTAGAGAGTCATCAAAGGTGGCTTTTATTTCACGAGACAGGGTTTCTTCCTGTAGCCCTGGCTGTCCTGGAGCTCGCTCTGTAGACCTGGCTGGCCTAGAACGCAGAGATCTGCCTGCTTCTGGCTCCTGAGTGCTGGGATTAAAGGTGTGTGTCACAATGCCTGGCCCAAAGGTGGATTTTTAAATGGACTTTTAAAAATCATTAAATCAACTTGTTTATTATTAATATATTTTTTAAATGTATCTATTTATCCCTCACCCCCACCCCCAGAGAGCTCTGTGTTTGCATATGCTGAAGCATGCAAGTGTGGGGGAGGCCACAGAACAATTTTCAGGAGTCAGGTCTCTCCTTCCTTCCACTGTGTGGGTCTAGGGAATTGAACTCATGGCCTTAGGTTTGGCAGCAAGCTCTCTAATTCACCAGTGCTTCCTTCCTTCCTTCCTTCTTTCTTTCCTTTCCTTTTTTTTTTTTTGAGAGGTGTGAGGGTTAGGGTGGGTTTGCTGTTGTTGGTTTTTTGTTTGTTTGTTTTTGAGACAAGATATCTCTATGTAGCCCTGGCTGTCCGAAGATTCGCTCTGTAGACCAGGCTGGCCTGGAACTCACAGGGATCCACCTGCCTCTGCCTGTCCAGTGCTGGGATTAAAGGCGTGCACCATCATGCCTGACATTTTCCTCCCTCCCTCCCTTCTTTCCCTCATTTTCTCTCTCCCAGGCTGGCCCCAAATTCACACCAATTCTCCTCCCTCTGCAGACGCCCAATTTGATCACTGAGTTTTAAACCCTTTAACTTGCTAACATTATACCCATTGCCCTTATTGTCTCCTGTTCTGGGGATGGAAGAGACCGGAACACAGAGCCCAGTGCTCTATCACTGAATGATATGCCCAGCCCCATGTCCTTCACCCTTTGTCTTTAGTAACAGGGGGCCATGCTCTGTAGCACAGGCTAGCCTTCAACCTGAAACCGGCTTGCTTTAGCCTCACCAAGTACCAGGCACAATTGTAGCTTTTTTTTCTTATGCTAAGGATGGAACCTAGGGTCTTGTCATGCTAAGTAAGCCAAACTGAGCCTTGTCCTCAGCCTTGGAAAGATCTTGATTTGTTTTACTTTTCTTTTATTTATTTTTTGAGAAAGAGTTTCTCTGTGTAAGAGTCCTCGCTGTTCTGGATCTTGCTCTGTAGACCAGGCTGGCCTCAATCTCACAGATCTGCCTGCCTCTGCCTCCTGTGTGCTGGGATTAAAGGTGTGTGCCACTACGGCCCGCAATCTTGGTTTGTCTGTTCACTCACCTTTAGCCTATTTTACTCCCCTGAAACAAAAGAGAATGTAGGTTTTGAGAGAGCGAGATTGGAGTGTCCAGTTCCTAACAGAGCGTCCACTCTTTCATTACTTTTTCTCAGTGAGATAGGACTCTCGAGTCTGCTTTGGTAATCCTCTGCCTTGGCCTCCCTGGTAACTAGAACAGGGACGTACCCCAGCACCTAGCTTCTACTTTCATGATTCAGTCAACAGATTGGTGGGGGGCACCACTCTTTCCAGGGATTTTTGCAGAGCCCCTGTGTACCAGGCAGTAAGGGGAAAGTCACAGTCCTCCCTCTGCCTAAGTGGAACTCTGTGGGCACGAAATCAATTCTATCTGGGCTGATCAGTGAGGTTTCACATTTTCACATTCCCCCATGCAGGGCCTCAGTTATTTTTTGAGACAGGGTTTCTCGGTGTAACAGCCCTGGCTGTCCTGGATCTCGCTCTGTAGTCCAGGCTGGCCTCGAACTCACAGAGATCCGCCTGCCTCTGCCTCCCGAGTGCTGGGATCAAAGGCTTGCGCCACCACCGCCTGGCAGTTTTTCTCACCTTGTGACCTAGGGTTGCAGGAAGGGCTGAAGGACAAAATGACCTCTATCCATCCAAGTTGCAGCACACTGTAAACCCTCTTCTTGGTATGTGAAGGCTGAGAGAATAATGGGGTGGGGGCAGCTTCCTCCTAGAGGGGAGGGGTGGGGATAGGGGTACTTTCCAAGTGGCTGAGAGAAAATTGTTGTCTCTATGCCTTGGCTTCTTTTTTTCCTTTTCATTTCTGCCGAACTTGCCGCTGCCTTCTCCTTTTCTTTCCTTCTCTTTTTTCTTTCTTTTTTTTTTTTTTGGGGGGGGGGGGACTCGCTTGCTGTATTTATTTGTTTGTTTTTGCACAGACTGATCTTGAACTTTTGAAATCTTCCCGCCTCTGGCTCCCAAGTGCTGAGATTACAGCCGTGAGGTACTATGAGGCACCACTCGTTTCTCCTTCCTTCCTTTTCTTTTCTTGCCCCTTTTTCAGACAAGGCCTTAACTCTGTAACCCAGGCTGTTGGGCCTGGAACTTTGACAATCCTGCCTCACCTCCTGAGAGCGCTGGGGATGCCAAGCCTGGGAGGCACCATGCCCGACTTTCTGAGGCTCAGTTTCGTGCTCCTCCCTACAGTGGGCATCTCAGACGTCCCTAACTCGCAGGCTGGCAGAGCTCAGCGCCGGGCCGGCGACCGACCCACAAGTGGCCATCGAGCACGCGGGGGAAGCGGCGGCGCGGGCGGAACCCAGGCGCGCGGGGCTCGGTGCCCACCCGGACCCGTGTGGCGACTGCGCTGGCGGAACCCAGGCGCTGCGGGCTGGGTGCCTGCCGGGACCTGTGCGGCAGCGGCGCGGGCGGAAGTGGGGCCCCTGCAGCGACGACCTGGGTGAGTACGCAGTGGCCTTGGGCTGTCCGCCCTGTCGGCCACATGCGGCGGGATTGGAGCTGCGGGGAGGGGACGACCTTAGGGGGACTGTGATCCGACGACGGGCGGGGTGGGAGGTGGCCGCCCTGGGGCGGGAGGACGCACTTAGAATTTGAAAAGGAGGACGCTTGGCGGCTGGCAGGAATTGAAACTGACCTGCCCATGGGCGCCGGGGAGAGAACAGCTCCTGCCCTCCGGCTGCTTATTCTCTGAAACGGCACCGTTTATCGAATTTGCATGGGGACGCGGGCGGGCGGGCGGGGTGGGGGGACGGGAGTGGACAGTTATCTTAGGGTGCGTGTGGACGAACACGTTCCTGTCTCCTAGCCTGGAAGCTCAGCCAATTACTGTCCTGATAACTTGAGGTGGACCTAATGCCCTCCAAGAGGATCCATTCCTCTTTAACTTTTTTATTTTTCTTTCTTTTCTTTTTTTGAGACTAGGAGACTGGCTGGTCTTGAACTCACTGTGTGGCCCAGGATAACTTTGAATTTTCCGCCCCACCTTTCACCTTCCAAGTACTGGGGATTACAGGCCTGCTTACCACAAACAATTTATGCTAAACTGGCGATAGAACCCCACTTCATGCTTGCTGTACAAGTACTCTACCAATTGAGCTCTATCTCCAGCCTTCCCCGCCCCCATCTCCCGTCCCCTTCCCTTGTAATTCAGGCTGCTTGTAGCAGAGACTGGCCTTGGTCAGTTCCTGGTCTCCATTGCCCAAGTGCTGGAATTTCAGGTGTTGGCCACCACGCCTAGCTCTGCTCTCCTTGAGGCCCCAAGGAAAGCTGGGTAAACTGTTGCCTCTTCACTGACCAAAGCCATGGGCTTTGGGCTAACAGATTAGCCAGGCATTGGGATGGATGGGTTTTAACCTCTGGGCAGGGAACCCGTGAATCAAGGGCTCTGAGGTCAGGCTAGCAGGGAAGGTGGGTAATTCTAGCTGTCCTTGCCTTCTAGACACTAGAACACACTCTTCCTCACTTTTCTCAAATCTTTTTGTTGCCTTTTTTTTTTTTTTTTTTTTTTTTTTGGTTTTTCGAGACAGGGTTTCTCTGTGTAGCTTTGCGCCTTTCCTGGAACTCACTCGGTAGCCCAGGCTGGCCTCGAACTCACAGAGATCCGCCTGCCTCTGCCTCCCGAGTGCTGGGATTAAAGGCGCGCGTCACCACCGCCCGGCCAGTTTTGTTTCTTAAATCAAGTCCCACGTTGTCTCCAGAACGTCCAGGGCCCACTTTGTGTTGACAGAAACGGCTGAGGAGAAAGCTCCTGCTCCTCCTGGCTGCCTTTCTCTGACATCTGACAGACCTAGCGAAGTGACATCTAGCCTCATTTCTGCAGCGCGATGGCTCAGTGGGCAAAGGTGCTCGCCACCAGGCTGGCGCGCCTCATGTGGTCCTCTCCCTGGCACCCACGCCCTCCTCGACCTCACATGTGCAGCACGACACACAAATAAATACATTCAGAAACTAAAAACCCAAGACACTGCAAACTCTTTGAAAACTTCTTGACAGGGTTTCTTCAAGCCCAGGCTGCTTTCACTCAGTAGCTGCAGTGTGTAACTATTACTCTGGATCATTCTGGATCTGGCTGGCAGTGAGGCTAGACTGGAGAGGCTGGAATCTCAGAGGGACTCTTCTTAATGGCAGTTGCTTATCCCCAGAATCATATAAAGCTGTGATAGAAGTAGACAAAAGGGGGCTGGGAATGCAGTTCAGTTAGTAGAGAGCTGGCCTGTCATGCAGGAGGCCCTGACTTCCATCCCTAGCACGCCCGAAACTGAATGTGGTGAAGCAAGCCTGTAATCCTGGCACGTGGGAGGTCGGGGTAGGAGGGTCAGAAGTTCAAGGTCATCCTTGGCTACACAGAGGTCAAGGCCAGTGTGTGCTAGGGACCCTGTCTCACAAAGAAAAAAAAAAAGGTCAAAAGAGTCCCATATGATGTCACACACCTGTCCAGCACCGAGGAGATAGGGTGCCTGTATGTTCAGGGTCAGCCTGAGCTACACAGCAAGACACCGTCTCCAAAGCCTTCTAACCACAACAGACAGAACTCCCTCCCTGGGGTACGGGTGTGGGGTTGGCACAGGTTTGGAACAGGAGAGCTACAGTGTGGCGGTGAGACCCTGGCCTGTTCTCTACTGGAGCTGTGTGTGGCTTTAACCCCCTCTACATTCTCCCTTAGCCTGGGCCATGCAGACCCCGCTGACCATTCCTGTGCCTGTACCAGTCCTCCGCCTCCCTCGGGGCCCCGACGGCTTCAGCCGAGGCTTTGCCCCTGATGCACGCAGGACCCTCCTGAGGCCAAAAGTCCCAGAAGCTGAAGAAGATCATAGTCAAGACCCCCCAGAGTTGCGGGAACAGCGGGCCCGAGCCACTCTCCGAGAGCGCTACCTCCGAAGCCTCCTAGCCATGGTGGGGCACCCTGTGAGCTTCACGCTGCATGAAGGTGTGCATGTGACTGCCCAGTTTGGAGCCACAGACCTGGACGTAGCCAACTTCTACGTGTCCCAGCTGCAGACGCCCATAGGCGTGCAGGCCGAAGCGCTGCTTCGATGTAGTGACATCATCTCCTATTCTTTCAAGCCGTAAGACTGGTGTCTCCCCCGTAGGTACTGCCATAGTAGCCCAGGCCTCCAGCTGTCCCTGGGCCGCAGAGCTCTCCACACCTTCTTAGACTTCCGAATCAAGCTCCAAGGAACTCTGGCTTTGAACTCGGGGAAACTCCAAACCCGAGACCACCCAGTGCTGTGTGCTTCCCAGCTCTCAAGAGGCTGGCTGGGAAGATGGTAAATTCAAGACCAGCCCATACGACAGTGGGAGATGACAACAGACATTCTAGATCTCATTTATTAAAAGGAATGTTCTACCTCATAAAACTGAACTTCACAGAAATAGGGCCCCCAGGCTAGTCCCTGAAGGCTGGGGTGTGGAGGGGGGTTCCAAGACAAACAGCTGAGGTGGGCACTGAAGCGCTTGCAAAGTTGAGCCTCCTGCCCAAGAAACAATCGTCCAAGGAAATCAGGCTCTTGTTTCTTTTCTTTTCTTTCTTTCTTTTTTTTTTTTTTTTGGTTTTTTGAGACAGGGTTTCTCTGTGTAGTCCTGACTGTCCTGGAACTCGCTCTGTAGATCAGGCTGGCCTCGAACTCAGAGATCCGCCTGCCTCTGCCTCCTGAGTGTTGGGATTAAAGGCGTGTGCCGCCACTGCCAGGCTCTTGTTTCTTTTAAATTTCACCATATGTTCCTGGTGTTTTGCCTACATGGATGTCTGTGTGCCACATGCATGCAGTGCCGGCTGAGGCCAGAAGGGGGCGCTAGGTTCAACGGAACTGGAGTTAGGGACAGCTGGGAGCCTCGGATGCTGGGAATTGAATCTTCTGCAAGACCAGCCAGTGCTCTTAACTGCTGAGCTATCTTTCCCTCCCACCCCCAATCTTTTTTAAAGACAGAATCTGGCTATGTTGCCTAAACTGGCTTGTAATTCACAATCTTCCTGTCTCAGTCTCCCAAGTGCTGGAATTTTAGGTCAGGCTGCCACACTTGACTTTTCTGTTTATCCTTTTAGCTGTGCCCCATGGAAGATGGTGCCATATTGAACATTTTTGTTTTGTTTTAAATTTTAAACATTTAGGTGCTTCGTGAGTATGGGTGCCTGTGGAGGTCAGATGAGGGTGTTCACTCAGCAGGAGCTGGGGTTACCAACGCTTGTGAGCTGCTAGACATCACCCGAGAACGGAATTCAGACCCTGTGGAACAGAGTAGCAAGTGCTCTTAACTGCTGAGCTGTTTTTCCAGCCCCTGGAGTAGTGTTTAAAAGTTAGTGGGTTAAGGAGAGGTGGGGGAGGGGAGAGGCAGGGGTTGGTATGTAAAATGAAAAAAAAAATTAAATTAAAAATAAAGTTAGTAGGGTAGCCGGCAATGGTAGCACATGCCTTTAATTCCAGCACTCAGGAGGCAGAGGCAGATGGATCTGAGTTTGAGGCTAGCCTGGGATACACGTAGATCAAGTTCCAGGGCAGCCAGGGCTACATAGAGAAACCCTATCTCAAATCATTGCCCCCCCTCCCCGCCCCCAATGTAGTAACATTTGGCAATTGCTGCCAAAAAAAAAAAAAAAAAGTTAATAGGGCAGTTATCTCAGGCGGGAACCTCTGGGGCTAAGCTGTGATGGTGAGCGGTCCAACTAAAAGTAGGGGATTGCACCGCTCCTGGTTCCCTCCCCAGACGGCTGGTGTTCTTTGGACAAGAGATCGGTCATCAAGTTTATTTTGAGGTAGGCAAGGATGGCCTTTTAGCGGGAAGAGGCCTTCCCTTCCCAGGTTGTGTATCTCGGGCTCTGGGTGATGGGGCCCACTGCAGCCAGCAGCAGATTTGATTTCCCAGGGCAGGGGACAGGGAAGTGGTGGTGTTCACACGTCACTGTGTGACAGAGCTGCACATGGGCATTTAGCATGAAGCTTCACCTCCTCGGTTTGCTCCAGCCTCCCGGTGGTACAGTCTGTGTGTGTCTGTCACCTGTTTCAGTCCCTTGTCCCTAGAAATCCTTCAGTAGATGGTATCCAAAAGCAGTTCCTAGCTGGGCATACAGGCACAAGCCTGTAATCTACAGGGGCGTAGAAGCACGAGGAGCCAGAGCTGAGGACAGCCCTCCCTGCATAGCAAGTCTGAGGGTAACCTGGGTTACGTGAGAACCTGTCAACAAGCAAAGACCAGCTAATGCTTTTTAGTTTAAGTTCAAGTAAATGAAGAGTGCACTAATTATAGGGGCTTTTGGTACTTCTCAGGCTCCGAAGTGCCGCCACCCACAACTGTGAACAGGAAGGCGTTACCTTTAGCAGTAGCCTCAGCGGCCATCCCTCAGTTCATAGTGACGCCTCCTGCCAGTACCTGCCTAACTCTCTAGTTGTCTTGGCAACGTTGCACTCGGCCCCTCCCTGAGACCCCTCTATGGTTTCAGTCCCTTGAGCTCGGGCCTGGTCCGTGATGGACTGGGAAGGCGAAGCGAAGTACTGAGCCGAATCCTGAGCTGTGGAATCGATTCCTCGGAGGCGTGGCTTCGGCCGCTCGGGTTTGGGTCAGCTGACTCATCTCTTTCCTTTGGAACGTCTTCCAGTTTTGTATCGTTTTAAAATCGGTTCATGAATACCCCCCGCTCCAGACTCGCTTGTTTTAATATTGTAATTTACATTTGATACGAGTCTGACGAGACACAATGAAACTGAAGTCTGCAAACGGAAAGCAAGGGGGCAGAGATCTCCTCTGTCAGCTTCTGTCACTTGTACACACTCACCCGATATTCAGCTCGGCTCTCACGGCCTTCAACGCCTGCAGCCCTTTACCCGGCTCCCAGCACTTGGCTCAACCCCGCCAGGGTCTTACTCTATAGCGCCTGTTGATCTGAAGCGCCCTAGGTAATCCAGCCTGGCCTCGAACTCGCAACCTCCTGCTTCAGCTTCTCCAAGGCTAGGATTACAACAGGCGTGCCGCTACAACAGGCGTCCCAGCAGACAGTTGTTTTATTTTTTAATCAATGTCTCTGATCCTTTATTTGTATTTTAAATTTTTCTTGCGGATGCGTGTGTGGAGCTCAGAGGACAGTTTTGTGGAGGCGGTTCTTTCCTTCCGCTTTTACATGGGTCTCGGGTATCGAACTCAGATAGCTTTAACAGCTGACAGTCGTTTCGCAGGCCCTGGTGATACGATTTCTATCGAATTCATTCCCGAATTACTTGGGATCCTGACGAATGTGCGGGAGCCTGAGTGTTGACAGCTGGGTTGAAAGAGGGGCGGCGGGGCCTCGCGCATGCGCGCTGCTCCGGGAGACGGCGTCCATCTGGCCCCGCCCCTGGTGTTCTGCGGTTCTGGCTCTGCAGATTCGTCGCTCACGTTTCTCTTTCCCGTAGACCCCACTTCTCTTTGTTCCCGTCTTCGTGTCGCTCTCGAAACGATTCTTCCAGAACAAAAGCTTGAGTCGGTGTTGTGCTTTTCTCGGTACGCAGCGGGCGCCTCGGCCTGTGACGAAAGTGTGGCTGCGGACGAGCAGGTACCCGCGGAGCTAGGCAGAGGCGCGTTGGGGCTCCCGGCGGCGGCGACGACGACGACGAACGGAGCGGACGGAGGCGGCGCCTGAGGCGGCGGCGAAGCCCATGCCCCGGAACGGCGGGCGGGCCCGGAGAGACGAGTCCGGGGCCCGGGGCATGTCCCCGGGGCCCCCGTGAGGAGGAGGAGGCGGCGGCGATGGAGATCCCGCCGCAGGAGGCTCCGCCCGGGCCGGGCGCGGACGCCGACGCGGACGCGGACGCCGAGGAGGCCCCGGCCGAAGCCGGGTCTCCTAGCGCGGCCTCGCCCCCGGCCGACGGGCGCCTCAAGGCTGCAGCCAAACGCGTCACCTTCCCGTCGGACGAGGACATCGTGTCCGGAGCGGTGGAGCCCAAAGACCCCTGGAGACACGGTAGCTACGGCGAGGGTGGCTCGCGGGGACGGGGCGGGTGGGAGCGCCACAGCGCCGACCGGCACGGAGGTGGCGCGCGGTAAGTGGCACCTCTTGGTGACCTGAGACGGCGGTGCCTAGGTTAGAGCTGGGGGCGGGGAGGGCTTGGAGGGAGAGTTGGGAAGGTGCAAAGGATTGGGTTCTCGAACCCTGACCGTCTGGGACTTTTGGGAGTACGTCCAGCGTTAGATGGAGAGCCGGTTCCACAGTACCGGGGAAAAGATAAGTGTCGGGGTCCACGGGGTGGCGAGAGTGAAGCTGCTGGTCTGCACACCTCCAGGCAAAGGGTGGCTATGGCCATTGCCCTCCTGGCTGGAAGGCGGAAGGGGAATAAACCCGGACTGCGAAGAGAGAGCAGTCGGTAAACCCTCCGACTGGGAAAAGAGGGTCAGAGGCAGTAGGCAGGAAAGCACAGGACGTGGTGTCCAGTTCGCTTGTGGGCGAGGAATTCCACAGCTAAGTTCAGCAGCGGAAGAACGTAGAGCCTTCTTTTGGCAGGGTCTTCCTGGAGCAGGACTTAGGGATTTTACCTATTCGGGCGTCTCTGGTCCACAGAAGGTGAAAGCCAGGTGGCCTGTGTGTTGGGAGATGGGAAGATCTGTGAGTCTGGGCCTCTTGGAGAAGGTTGGTGGGGGTGGTGGAACCAACAGGGCACTTGGAGGAGTGCATTGGCTTCAATGGCCAGGGCAGGTGAAAGGTTGCTGGGGAGACGGACACAGGTGGACCCCGTTTCTGTGCTGAAAAATTGTTTTGCCGGGGTGGATCCTGTGAAGCGAGGGCGCCCGCTGGCCGTGTTCTTTAGAAGCTAACCTGCTTGTCCCGGAACAGATAGACACTATTGCCAGGCTGTGGGCAGCAGAGTGGGCAGCTGGTGGCTTTGATGTGTGTGGGGGCTGGGAACTTGGTTGCAGGAAATGATACACTGGGAGCCCTCCGTAAATGCCAGTTTGACTAGTAATTATCAAAGAGGCCAAGGTTAATTTAGCCTGGGCCTGGGGAGCCAGCCAGGGGCCGGGTGGTCTGTTTGGGGTTCTGAACTTCTGGGAACTGGTGCTGAGGACAGGGAGAGTCAATTGGGCCCTGGCAGGAGCCTGGTGTCCATTGTGGAGAGATCAGAGCAGGAAGGGGAGAGGTGGAGCAGTGTGGCTATTCAGAAGTGGTTAAGAAACCCAGTGTGGCGGTATGCAGCTGTGAACCCAGCAGAGGCTGAGGCTGGAGGCAGTCGTGTTCTAGGAGGGCTTGAGCTGCATGGCGAAACTGTTTCCCTATAAGAAAGCAAAAGGAAAAAAGGAAGGAAGGGCAGCTGGATCAAATCCTGTCTTCCCATTTACTCTCTCAGCCTCTGCAGAGAGGTTACCTAGCTCCCCTGAGCCTCAGCCCCGCTCCCTAAAGTGAGTGGCAGGAGCAATGGCCTAGGTTTACTGGAGACTGAGTGAAGTCACACATGAACAATGCCTGGTGAGGTCCAGCCCTCTAAATCTGTGGTGATGACCAAGGCAGCCTTGAGGCTTGGAGAGAGGTTGCTCTTTGCATAGGGCCACAATGGACTGTGTCAGGGCCTTCCAGAATGAGGGTTCAGATGGTGGGCTTGGAGGTGTGGGCACTTGGAGAATTGGGCATAGTTCTGGGCAAAGTTTCTGGCCCACAGTTTTCCTGAAAAGGCCAAGCCTTTTATCATGTTTTTGAATTACAGTTTTTTGAGACTATCTTACAGCACAGGCTGTGTGTAGCTCAGGGGGACTTTCACCTCCTGACCCTCCTGCCTCCATCTCCTGAATGATGGGATTACAGGTAGGTGCTGACACTCATTTTATGCGGGGCTGGGGATGGAGCTCAGGGCTTCCTTAATGCTAGGCAAGCACCCTACTTGTAGCCTCTCTATAGTTTTTTGTTTGTTTGTTTTGTTTTTGAGGCAGGATAGAATTTGGTAGTAGAGGCTGGCCTGGAGCTCACTGTATAGTCCAGGCTGGCCTCAAATGCATAACAGTCCTGCATCAGCCCTGTCTCTAAGACCTAGGTTGACAGGCACATGTCATGCCCTGCAAGTTTGGCAGTTGAGAAAGCTTTTTCCCTCCTGCCTCTGATTTCTTTGTCTCCAAATGGAGGTGCTAATTTTTTAGTCGTAAGCATTAAACAAGACAGCTCTTGTAAATTCCTGTCCCATAAAGCAGCTAATTGGATTGCTACTGGTAAGGGTGACAGTACAGGTGATGATGTCTCCCAGACCAGGAAGGCTGCCATTCCCCCAGCTTCCCAGAGACAGCAGGGACTACTCAGGGCTCACTTTTGGAGGAGAGGGTAGAGAGGCAGCCATGACTGCTGCCTGGGAATAAGCTTGAAGACTTGGCATCCACAGGGGAAGGAACGTGAAGGTGGCCAGTCTGGACAGAGATTTGCAGAGCCATCAAGCACCTAGGGGCAGGTGCCCAGGAGGACAGCAGGGTTGTCCATGCCTGGGACTGAAGGGGATGGGAAGCGTGATGGGCTCAGAAGGTTGGTGAGAGCCCAGTTGAGAGACAAGGGTCTCTGAGGAGGGAGTGGTCTGGCCTGGATCAGGGGCTGCAGATGGTGTGTTACAGTTGGTCTCTGGGTCCTGTATAGCATGGGATATAGAATTTAAGCCATGGACTTGTGGAAGAGTGCTGACCCCAAACAGTGCCCCAAGTGACAGGCATTGGAGGGTCTGAATTGAGAGACTCAGTTGTCTCAGATCCATTCTTCTCAGGGAGACAGATGGGAGAGCTGACTGGGCCTGGGGGTGTTGGGAAGTAAAGGAGGCCTGGGGCAGGGGAGCAGCTCTGAAGGAGTCCGCCAGCACCAGCTCCCACTCAGCCTCATCCGAGGGGTGTGCTAGCTGGGGGTAGGGATGGGGTTTGTTTGGGGGCCCCTTGACGTGAGCTGATCTAAGGACCCGTCTGTTTTCTCCTTGGTGCCCCCAACAGGAATGGGAGCTGACTCTTGTCTTTTAGTCCCACTTTCCCCAGCCCCACCTGAAGCCCTGTCGCAGTGGGACCAGCCTGAGAGGGGGTTTCGGGGGCCCTGGCAGAGTACCTGCTCTGTGGCTTCCTCTCTAAAGCAGGGCCGGTGGGCTTAGCCCTGTGGTAAGCCAGGCAGGAGGATGTCTGGAAGGATGGGGTGGCCATGGCTTGGGAGCTGGAACCAGGTGTGGGGGTGGGAAGTGCGACTTGGGGAGTATGGAGGTGGTGGAAGTCGTGAGTGGAAGAGGCATATTGGGCATGTGGGTACTGGGAGAGGGGGCTGGCCAGGCCTCCCCTGATGAGAGGCAGCCCTTGGGCCCTAGCTTATCCCAGGAACCAGTACCCCTTCCAGACTAAACCACAAGAAAGTGCCCAGCTGTCCTCAGCAGGCACTGCTAGACTCTGGCTTTCAGGCTTGTGAGAAGGACTTGTGATCCAGGCACATGACACCGTTGAGACTGC